GTCGACACCGGCCTTATCGCCAATGCAGTCGTTGCCGTTGACATTTCGGTCCACGTAGCCTTTCTCGTTGACGTAGGCGTCGCAGACCGCGCCGCAGTCGTTGACGCCTGATATTGAAATTGCTTGGGCAATTGAGGGTTGTATCTCAAAGAAGTTGCAGTTGCTGCAATCATTGCAGCCGCTGCATTCAACCTCATCGTCAACGTCGACACTGTCGTCGTTATCATTGGTGTCAAGCTTGTTGTCGCTGTCGACACAGTCGTCAGTGTCGTTTTCGTCGACGCCATTGTTGCAGTCACCGCCATTTCTCCGGCAGTAGACGAAAACCTTTTCTTCCACTTAATTTTTCTCCCAGTACCCTGAAAAAAGTAGTCTCGTAAGAGGAGTCATCTAGAGGAAAGTCCTAAAGATAGGATCCTAATACGGTTTTCTGTTAAATCAATAGGCTTCATCCACCATGAATTTATTGCCCTTGGAGCAAAATCTGTTTAGTGGAAAATTTGTTACATCGTACAATTGTCGCAATAAAAGATTGAATGTGTGTGTTGAAAACCTATTGTCTCACATTAGAAAGCTATCTCATAATAGAGAACTTTCCTCTATGTATATAAATTAGAGCTGCAAAAGAAGATATTAAATGTAGATCTTTGATTGGTTGTCCACAAGTCGTGTGGAGAACAAACGATTCCACGAATAATTCACAATCGCAAAAGTGCGATACTTGTTAATTAAAGAATTTCGAGTACAAACTCTATGAATGTTTCTCTTCCACCGGAACGATGCTGTTAAAATGTGTGTGAAGTCTTCATACCTGTATAATGTACATATAATTCAGTTTACAAGATCTCACACACCACGGAGAATTCAGTCATGCTGTCGACCGTAAAAGTAAAAAAAATGCGTCTCTCAGGAAGAAATTTGACCGCTAAATGCAGTCGCACTTAATATTAATACGCTAATATTCAGGCGTTCGTAAACATTGCAAGATATTCAATCGTACTCGTTCAGATATGAAAATAGCAAAAGTGAATTGTTGGTATCTTTGAAGCTCGGTCTACGAGTCGTTCAATCACTTCTATCGGTTGACACTCGAGCCGAGTTCGGGCTTGATATGGACATCAGCAAACTCAGAAAAAAAGGACCAAAACAGTTCTGACGTCTCAGGGCCTGAGCAGATTGTCGTGACCGTTTACGATTCCGTCGTAAGACTTGAAGGCCTGAGCAGAACGGCTGTCTTGCACCCTTGAAACAAGTTTCGTTTTAAACCTTTGTCTTAAAGTAACGAACAATAAGGGCTTGAGCAGAATGCGATATCTAAGCCGGTATCGAAAGTCAACGCACAAAGAATTGTCGTGTGTCACCACGCGATGCAACGCGAGGGATACGACATACGTCTACGAAGAATTGTCGTACGTCGTCTCGCGAGGAATACGACGTACGTCTACGACAGTTCTTTGTGCGTTGACTTTCGATACGGACTCGAGTCTTATTACGACGCAATCGTAAACGGTTACGACAATCTTTCCGCTCGAGTCCTAACGCGTAATATACTCATTGCAGACCGACTCGAGAGATTCGCGGTAATAAGCAAGTATAAAGCCAGCGTCTCACGTATTTATTGTTAGAGTAGTAATTGTAGTAATACGGCTTCTTCTTCTTCTTCCTCCGGTTATTTGGCGTAGTAATACGGCATAGCTCGAACTTGTACAGAAACTCGTCGATCAAGGAAAATAGATCGATCGTCCTTCCGGGTCGTTCGCCGAACGCCGAGGAATAATCTCCTGCCGCTGTTCTGTAAACTACGCCGTACGTGTGCGTACGCGCGCGGTAACAAGGTAACAAACGAAACTCGCGGGCGGCAAGAGCAAAACAAGCGCGTACTCCCGCCGTTTCCCTAGTCCTGCAGGGCTGCGTTCAGAAACGGCACCCGAACGTACCGGCGTAACATTTTATCCTTGTTTAACATATGGTGAACAACAAGGATAGAATGATACGCTGGGGTACCTGGGTGGTGTTTCTGAACGCAGCCTAGTATCTACGCGCCCAACAGGAGCGATTTGCGCGACGCACGCGCGTGAAACTCTCGTGACTTACAATTTGAAGTAAACTCGTTTTTCTGATGAAAAAAAAGAGAAATGAGCAAACAAACACGAAGATGTTCGTTGAAATTGCTAATTGCGTAAAAACTATACAGGGTGAATCTTTATTTTCTGCCCCAGCCTTTCACCATGAGAAATGGATTACCGACTGCAATTGTAGGCAACTCTGGAAAAAATGGAAAGTCTCGATCGTTATAAATATTTTAATAATGGAATATCTAATTATATCTCTCAGGATACAATTAGATATTATATGTATATGACATTATATTACGAGATTTTTCCCATTTTTTCCCGGGTTAAGAGGATCCCGTAGCGGGTCTACCGACATCTATGTATTACCGACAGAATTACCATTTTCGTATACCCA